AAAAACCAATTTACAAGTAAATGCCAAATACTTTTTACTAATTTATGTAAGCTTTTATTAGATAATAATTTAAAATTTAAATTACTTGTCCTTAAAGATCTCCTTCTCATGGTCAGTCCAAACATTCATAAACTGCCTATCTTTATAAACCTTCATAGGGTCCTCCATAAGCCCATTCATGTTAATAAACTTGACCCGTCTTTGTTCTGCATCAAACATCATAGGCGGGATCACTGAGAGCTGCCGCATTTGTTTCTCATTATTCTGCACCAAAACAAAACAGAACAAAACAAAACAAAAACCAATTTACATAAAATAAAATTTAAAGAGGGCCACAGACCAACTGTCTTAATATACACTAAAAAAACACATAATGTAGTTTAATGACAATAGTACATATAATGTCTAATATACAGTAAAAATTCATAAATCTAACAAATATCTATTCAATGGATTGTAGAGGCAGAGAGTATACATATTTTTTTTTATAATCCACTGCCATAATATGAGAATAGTTCTTGATTTAAACGAAGCTGATCTTTCAGGTAATGGAATTTTTACAAATTCCATTTACAAAAATCCTTTGTAGAGGATACAAAGTAATGTCAAGTTCAAGTTCATGACCTTATGAAGCATTTTAATTATATTTAGTCTCATTTTTAAAAGTCTTAACATCATTTTAGAGAACAAATCTTAACATCATTTTAGAAAATAAGCAGGAAAAATAAGCAAACAGGCACCAAAATCCTAAGACCACTGATTTTAAATTAAGTAAATTCACTTAAGTATTAAATACTTCTTGCTAATCTTATATAATCTTTCCATCGGAAATTTAAGACTATTATCCTTATAATTTCAACAAAAACTGTTACATCTTTACAATTTATTTTTCCCAAAGTTTAATTCATTAAGTTTATAAGCACAAACTTCCAAGAAAAAAATTAACAAAATTACAAGTATTGACCCCAACATAAGGCTAGGTTTTTCCCTAAAACTTCTCCTCAGAGATGTGGTTATTGCCTTACTAGTCTATAATTTTATGGGGTACTCTCAATGAGTTTGAACACAAAAGTACTATTTGGAGCAGACACATTAGCTTGAAATCACCTCCATTAATACTAGTTTTGGATACTTAGAATCAGTCAAAAATCCAGCTAAGAAATTTAACATAGGTTTAGTCATCATTGTAGGGATTATGGCCACAAATTTTGAAATATAGCAATGTAATCATTGTCTCTGATCATTATTTAAGGGACTACTTCATTCAAATAAGCAAGACCTTCAGAATTTAGAGATGAGGTTTTTAAAAGCCATGTTATAAAAATCAAAACTTGCAAAATAGATGGATGCCTTTACACCAACTTTAAGAGACAGTTTGAACATAGCTAAGAAGACTCAGTGCTAGGGACTGAAATTTATTCTTATTCATCATTGCTTTATTTAATATCACATTCTATCTCTGTCCAAAGCTCACTTGGTTAGAGAGCAGCCTTTGGAGATCCCACCAAGTGAACATACAAATATATGCAAAATACATGCTCTTCTGCTATATTATGAAATGGCACCACCAGTTCAGTCCTGTAACCTAGAAACCAGGGAGTCACTTTCCATTTCTCTCCTTTCTCACCCCAACACTTAATTCATCCATCTTGTCCTGTTCATTCTACCATCTATTCATCTCCTCAATCAATCCCCTCCTGTACATCCCTACCACTGTTGTTCTGACTCAGGTCCTTATTATTATCGTAACATCCTCCTTCATCTCTTTCCATGCCTCCCTGTTGCCAAAACCATATCTGTACAACGCCAATACGATCATGTGACCACCTTCTTTAAAACCCTCAATGGTTGGTTGGCCACAGTCATCGGAACAGTCCAACTCCACAAATGTTCCCTCATTTATATACAAAGAAACCCTTAGTTCCTCTGGTATGAAGCTAAAATTCCTGAATAATTAATGAATTAACTTGAATTAAATCAATTAATTTTCTTACCTCCTGCTCAGAGAGCCCATCGATAATCTCAGAAATCTCATGCTCACTCCTAGCAATAGTGGCTGAAAGACCAGCTCCCCTCTGCCCAACTCTAAATATGAGGAAGAAATTATAAATATATTTAAAAGCCTTTTATAAAGAAGACATATAAATTAAATTACTCTTATATATTGGGTTGTCGCAAGAGTCATGACACATTTTTGCAACAAAAAAAAACAGAAAAAATACATCATGACTTTTCCGACAACCCAATAGATTATTTTTCTGAATAAGACTTTTTTTAACCAACTAGAAGTCAGAGAAGAAAACTAAAATTCCATTAACTACTTTTAAGTAATTTGCTTGAGTCATCTATAAAATTAACAATTTAAATGCTGAGATTAAGATTTAAACGTTACATGCCCAAGTTCAAATGATAAAACTATTAATGGGAAACTTCTAGAAAACAACAAATGCCAGTCTTTTGCCAGCCTTCCATAGAATAGAATAGCAGACTTAGAAAACTATATCAAATATTTTTTAAAGGAGGGTAAAAAACACAACCATCATCTCTCACAAAAACTTAATCATAATTAAAGGGGCTTACATGACTCTTACATGAGACAGTAAAGAAGAAAATTAAAGTTTTTACCTTTGTAAAATATTTGTTCTCTAAAGTAAACCAAATCAGAAACTACCACTATAAAAGAATTTCTTAATTAGCAACCAACTTAATACTGTTTATGTTGGTAGGTAATGAAGGACAAAGAGATAAGAGATATTCAAGTCTACTCTTATTAACTGTCATTTCCAAAGAAATGGGTATTTTCAAGAACTAAAGAATTAATTTCAAACTATTCACTTAAATTTAGATTCAACAGCATGATTAAATATTAAATTTATCAAGACATAATCTTTGATAGTTGATAATGAAATTTTATATTCAAAATAAAAGTTCTTGGGCTGGCCGAGTGGTGAGTTAGTTAAGAGCTGGCTTGGGATGCCAGAGGGCCCCGGTTCGGATCCCACATATGAGGGCCAGTGACACTGCCCTCTACAGCTAAGATGCTGAACAACNTTTAAAAAAAAAAAAAAAACTAGAGAGAAAATCTTCAAGGTAATAACCTAAAAGCTAATGTGGGCAGGATTAAGCTGTTGGAAAGGCTGGCCAAATCAAAACTGAACCTACCTGGGAGCAAGAATTCCTAAGGTTCAGGTCAAGGTGAGGGTACATATGGAAAATGTCAGTTCTGCAAATGCATTCTGGGATGTGCTAAGGGTGCTAGCACAGAGACAAGAAAGTGCACAAGAAAAAACTAATATGGTTGAAATTTAACAAGGACAAGTGTACACAGAGGAGTGAAATAGTGCCCAAATAACTTGCAGATAGAAAACAAATGTTTCAGAGTAACAGCAACATTCCCTGTCACTCAAAACTTCCTGCTAGAGCTTTCTCCTCTATCATCACAAGCAACAGACTGCTAATCCAGCAAAGATAAGGTATAATAAATATGAAATTATCCCCTTACGTTATCTGGGAGCAAAAATATTAAACAGCAGCATATACAATTTCTAAAAATAAAATTAAAGTTATAAATACTAGCTTGTAATTAGGAATAAAGCTGTTGTTAAAAACTGGTAGCTGAACCTTGTTTAAAACATAAATGGGCTCTAGCACCTGCGGCTAAAGAACCATGGTTCAACTTCATAAGGAGCAGGGAGCTCCTTTAGTGGAAGTGTTCCAACTCTCTGCCAACATTCCATTTGCTGCCCTTCAGGTCATAAATCTCCCGAGCTCTACAAACATCTACCCCTTTGTCCTACAGTATTCGTCCCACCACTACACAAGCATGCTCTTTTCCTCCCTTCTGATCCTCATCAGCTCTACCACCTATTACTCTGTCCCCTTTATAAGTAAATCTTACTAATAAGGCTACACTTGTACTACCGCCACTTCCTCACCTTCTATACCCCCTTCAGTTCACTATCATCTTATTTCTGGCCCCCTCACCAATCCACTGAAAATGCCTATCAAGACCACCTCAGCTGACTCAACTTCCAGCAGCATTTTACACAGTTGACTGGTGAAATAGTCCCTATACTTTTTTGACCAGGAAATACTATTTCTGAAGAATACGTAATCACATCTTATGAGGTGGTAGTGCTCTGTAGGAAACAATGACCCAGAACACAAAAAGGTTATGGCTACAAATAATGAGAAAACTGTCAAATAACCTGTATCTGGTGACCAGGGCAACCAAGGGAAGAAAGGGTGGCTGTTTGAGGAAACCAGAACAGATTTAGGAACGCTAATGAACAGTCAGCAGCTGTTCCAGCTCACACACACAATCCCATACTGCGAGTTTTATCTGGGTCTAGAGAGCAAAGGGGGATTGCATCACCCCAGCAGCCTCACTAGTAAAGCACATGAGCTGCGACAACTGCTGACTATTTATTTGGGGGGAAACAATTTTTAAACTACTGAGTTGCAACTGTGAAACCATACTGCACTGTATTAAAAACGGTCTTTCTAGGTCAAGTGCTTTTTAAAACTTAAGCCATCTAAAACTCCCAAAATGAAGTTAATCTGAAACAAAATCAGGTCCCAGGTATTTCAATAAACCACCCTCTACTCTGGCTACCATGCTATATTTCTCTTCCTTACTCTACCCATCCCCTCCTCAAACAAAATGACTGGTAAAGATGGTATACTAAATAAGGCCTAAAGGATCTCATCTTTAATTACATTATTACTGTTAACACTGACATAAATGACTTAGATAACATGGAAGTATAAAACTATTCTAATTTTATCACACTAGAAACTTAAAATATTCAAAATAGAACATACACCATGTTATATACATTAACTTCAAAATAATAGTAATATGTTCATAATATCCTAATTAATTTAATAGAAACGTCAATCCCCAAAATACACATTAAGTACCAAGCTCCTGCTATAACAATTTTGTCTTTATATTTCCACCAACCCTGAAATATCTTCTACACAGTAATGACACACACCTGGTTTCTTCCTCTGCGTTTTCCATAATTCCGTCTTACTAGGGCTTTATAATTCTCATTTTTCTTGGTTAAGTAGTAATATAAAACACAATCAGGAACACTCTATAAGCAAAAAAAATATTTTTGAAGATCCAATGAAATAATTTTTTTTTTAATCAAATAATACTTTCAAGGAAAACATCTGGTATTCTCACAAAGTGTAAACTGAGGACAAATACACATGGCTAGCATTTTAAATCAATATCTAGGCTCTACAAATACTATATATATATTATATCTACTATATTAATGGGTAATTACAGTTGTCTTAATCCAAATTACGTAAAAAATACCAAAAACTATCAGAAACAGTCAAGCACTTTCTTACTAACCAGTAACTAAATTCCCTTTCTTACTGCATATATATAAACATTCAAAATGTCTCTTTAAATATTTTGCTCAAAAACACTGCATTCAATCCACTGTGAAAAAAATTCAGGGATAATCAGGGCCTTGATATTTTAATTAGAAATTTAATGAGGTTCAAAACGCATGGAATTCTATGTGTTCTTAGGGAAATACAACATCAGGTCATTTTTCATTAAACATGAAAACTAGTTCGTGTTCTGTGCTTAGGATTTGTGATCAATGTAATTGTAAATATCACTATACTAGTCCCATGAGACTCTCTTCTATAGCAAGCCCTTTGCAAAAATCAGCTCTATTTAACTACTTTTGGATACTAGAGCACAAAAATTTCAAAGTAGCAACCACCACAAACCTATACACATTCCCAATGCGAACAATTTCTTACCTTCCTTTCCAAGTAGGATGCAATTAGTCCAAAGTTTTTTGGATGCTGGATAAACCTGTGTAAAAACAAAACAAAACAAAACAAAACACACACACACACACACACACACACACACACACACACACACACACATTTTAACAACTCA